TACCCAATTGGAGGCGTCCCTCTCACTAGTGAGCGAGAAGTTTGTTTGTGTGAAGTTTGAACGCACGGCACCGGGACTATAGATTCAGATTAGATTATATTTAAAGTCATTTCAATTGAATTACAAAACTAATTTGTGATATAACTTGACTGAATTGACCCGAATATGTTTGGGACCCAACTCTGCGGCCATACATTTGGTGAACATATCCAGCGCTGTCTTTGACATACAATAGGGTGACATACTGTGCCCCTACAAGAAGTATTACAGATAATAAATATAAACACAGGCATTAATTTTATAATTTGTAGAAAAATAGATTAATATTTTAATAAATGTCTTACAGCTTGAATGCCAGCAATACTCGAGATATTAATAATATTTCCTTTGGTTTTCTCTAAATGCTTGACTGATATATGAGTCAAATATACCACAGAATCCACATTTGTTTCTAAAACTGATTTATACTTTTGAATAAAATCTGAATCAGTTATTTCAGCCCTAATAGCAAAGCCGGCGTTATTGACGAGAATATCTAATTTGCCGAAAGTCTTGATAGTTGTGTCCAGAAGTCTGTGGAGATCTTCCTCTTTGGTAACGTCTGCCACGACTTCCAGAGGTTTGAGATGTTTTGGTGACACATCTGAACACTGTTTCGATACTTTGGACACATTCTCGGCATTACGTCCAGTGATCACAACATTGGCTCCACTTTTGGCCAGAAGTACAGCAGTGGCCGCACCGATGCCTGAACTCGAGCCCGTGATTAGGGCTACCTTTCCCGTGAAGTCATACTTTGTAGTCATTATTATATAAAAATTCTACTTTTAAAACAATTCTACTTTTAAAACAATTCTACTTTTTATAGAATACTTTTAATATTAATTATTATATAGTTAATTATTTGATTAATTTATTAATAATAAAAATAGTTGAAAAATTACCAGATATTTATAGTATCTGATCACTTACATTATCAGTTAATGTGAGTGCTTTAGAGTGCAAAACAGCGTTTTATTAAATTTTATTTCATATATAAATGAGATACAGTATCTGATTGAGTAGTGGATATACTTGCATACAATGTTTAATATAATAAAATTATCAGCAGTAGTATTTCGGTTCATTAAAATGAATCACTACAGTATAGCTTACTCGCTGACATTAGCGGCTATATGTCCACCATCGGCCAACAGAATTAAGCCTGTTATAAAGCTAGCCTGATCACTTGCTAAATAGGCCACTGCATTAGCAATGTCCATACTTTGACCACACCGGCCAACCGGGTATTTTGTGACAATACTGTATAACATTGCCATAAATTGTTCATCAGCTAAGCTTAAATCTTTAAAAAATTCTGTGCGAACAACACCGGGACTGCAATCATATAATCATTATTAGTATAATTTATAACAATATCTATATTTCTATTAAAATGATTGCATACTTGACTGAATTGACCCGAATATGTTTGGGACCCAACTCTGCGGCCATACGGTGAACATATTCAGGGCTGACTTTGACATACAATAGGCTGACCAGGGACAGATCTGTTTGTAGTGACCAATCATATTTAATATATAATTTAATCATACATTTATTGTTATTTTAGACAAAAAGATCTTATATACTGTACTTTGTATAGAGTTTGTATTATGAGGTTTTCATTTTAAAAATAATTTAAGTACATTCATTACTCTATTTTAAAAATAAAATGTTCATATGTTATAAATTATAAAAAATAATTAAATAATAACATTAGACATTCACTTCTTTATAATATAATTCTTACTGATTGTATGGCAGCAACACTCGAGATGTTAATTATATTTCCTTTAGTTGTCTCCAGATATTCAACTGATTTATGAGTTAAACTAACCAAAGAATTCACGTTTGTTTGAAAGATTTCTTCAAACTTTTGCATGTAATCCGATTCAGTTATTTTGGTCGCACTTCCAAAGCCGGCGTTATTGACGAGAATATCTAATTTGCCGAAAGTTTTGATAGTTGTGTCGAGAGTTCTGTGGAGATCTTCCTCTTTGGTAACGTCTGCCACGACTTCCAGAGGTTTGAGACGTTTTGGTGACACATCTGAACACTGTTTCGATACTTTGGACACATTCTCTGCATTACGTCCAGTGATCACAACATTGG